TTTTCTGGTTCTCAGATCTTGTCCTGCTGTGAATACTTGAGATTTTTCCTTTTCCATTTCTCAGATCCTGTCCTGCTGTGGATACCTCGAGATTTTCCCTTTTCTGGTTCTCACATCCTGCTCTGCATCAGCTCCCAGCTCTAAACTCCTTCTGGAACGGGAACTTGGTTTTTCACACCTCCTCTGCAATTAAAACTGCTCTTTAAAGAATTTTTTAATTTTAACCTAAATTATTCAATTAATTTAATTTATTTAATATTTATTTATTTATAATTTATTTCTTAAATTTAAATTTAATTTACTTAATCCATTTAATATTTATTTATAACTTATTTTTAAATTTAAATTTCATTTATTTAATTAATTTAATTTATTTAATATTTATTTGTTATTTATTTATTTATTTATAAATTTAAATTTCATTTATTCAATTAATTTTATTTAATATTTCTTTATTTGTTATTTATTTATTTATTTTATTTTATTTACATTTCATTTATTCAATTAATTTAATTTATTTAATATTTATTTATCTATCTGTTTATTTATTTATTTGTATTTTTTTTTTAAAAAAAAAAATTAATTTAATTTAATTTAAATGCAGCAAGGAGGGAGAAGCGATGACCATGCCAGAGGCCAAACGCATTTAAAGGAGGCTGAGAGGGGAAGGCTCAGAGGGATCTGCAAAGCTCCTGAGCCTCGAGTTCCCAACTTTTCCGTGTCCTCAGCTTTTCCCCCTGGCTTGGGAATGTGATGGGAACAGCTCTGCTGGATTTCCTGGCAGCCTCACCTCATCCTTAGCCTTGAGCAGCAGCTCCAGCTCCTCCAGGGTTTGGCTCAGCTCCTCCTTGTTGTTGTCGCTGGAGGAATCCTGCGTCCCCTGCGACTCCAGCTCCGCCACCTGCACGGGGAGATTCCCTGAGAGCTGCAGGAATTCCCTGGCTCCTCATCCCCCACCGCCTTGGATTCCCTGCAATCCCACCTGGATTCACAGCACCTCCCGCCTGGGGCTGGGAGGGGAAAAAATATTCCTTCTGAAACATTTTGTGGCTAAAAAAAATTCAGTTTGCACCCTCTGTCTGTGCTTTCTGCAGGGGTTCTGTGCTGAACTGGCCTCCAGCCTGAAAATCCAGCTCCATTTACACCTCTGGGCAGACGTTCCCAAAATCCGGCTGAGCTGGAAGGGTTTGCCCAAGCGGACTCCCCAGCCCTGAAAAATTCAGCTCGGTACCTTGGATTATTCATGAGGGGATTCATTTTTAAAAGGCTGCGGCAGCTTTTGCTTTTTGGGCTGTTCTGAGCTCTGCAGACTCCTCCAGAGATGAGGAGTGGGACAGATCCCGGCTCTGGAGCTGCCAGGATCACGGTGCCGGCCAAAATCCACCAAAATTCTCAGATTTAGGGACAATAATCCAGATGTTTTGCTGAGTTACTGGTTTTTAATGCGATCCTGACACGGCTCTGGCGCTGTCCTCCACCTGAGGCTCCCCAAATCCTCTCTCCCAGCTCCCAGCCGGCAGGGAATCCTGAGGGATGGATG